TTTCCAACCTCGTTGGTATGTGTCATCCATTTTTTGCTTTAATCAAGAAAAATGCCAAGTTGCATTGTGATAAAGATTATTAATAAGCTTATGAAAACATGAAGTGAAACATATTGACACCTTCAGTATATGTGACCCATCTCAAGTCGGTCATTAATTCTTTATAAAAACTCTTTTAAATGAGTCCCTTGGTGCCTTATTAGCTCAAACTAATGAGACAAATAAAGAGAATGCATTATACTACTTGAGTTATTGATTTATCCCAACTAAAAAGAACTTTCCTCAAATCAAAAAAAAAAAAAACAACTTATTGACCTCATTTAAAAAAATGAGATAGTGCATACTCTCTCACAAAGTCAATCTTATTTTAAGTTTAATCATTTACATCGTTTGATGAACTGTCCAACTTTATCAAGACAAATAGTGAGGTGGTCAATGATCATATTATAATTCAATATAAATTTTATTCTCTTACATGCTATCAAAGGCTAGGCTTTAGGCTATTTTTCAATAGCACATCCATTGCCCATTGATGCTCCTTTAAATGACGAGGTACCTAATGAATAGATTCTAACTTTAGAAGATCGAGATAAATCATTCTCGGAGTTCTAATTTGATGGTGCTTCATCTGCCAATAGAGACTTTAACTCAAAATTATTAATCCCCAATAAAGCAGGATTATGATTGATATTCTTAACCTCTGAATGTGAGATGATGAGTTTTTCATATCATCTATCAGAGTCATGTACCAACAATGAGGCATAGTACAAAACCCTAATTACTAGTATGTAGTTAAAAATTTTGATGGAAATTCAAGACATCAAAGTTTTTTATATATTCACAATTGGTGATAATCAAATTGGTGGAAAATTCAAGCTTTTCAAACAATACTACCTGTATAACTTGAAATTGCTAAGCATGTACCAAATGTCGTATTGTAAAGAATACCCCATGGCAACCTTACTATTGTGGATGCTTTGGCAAGGTTGGTTAAAGAGAAAACTTGCTTGAAAGTGGAGTTTATACCAGTTGAAGTTCAAGGTTGTCAGACCCTCTCATATGTTGACATGGAGTACATTCATGGACATAACATCTAATGACAGGTTTTATCACTACATTGCAAGGACCAACTATTTGGAGATAACCCTTTGTGGATTACTTATGGAAAGGCATCAAGATAAGCCATTATGGGAGTTCCACTTTGATGATGCTTCATCTACCAAGAAAGACGTCAATTCAAAATAAGTAAATTTGACTAATATTCATAACTCCTAACTGTGGGTTGATCAGTTTTTCATATCATTTAATAGAGCCATGAATTAACGACAAGGTAGATTAAGAAGCCCTAATTACTATTCTGTAGTTAACAATTTTGATGAAAATTTAAGACATCAAAGTTTTTTCAGAGATTTACATTTGATGATAAATCAAATTGCTAAAAAATATATGATTTTCAAACCACAACTTTATCAATACTATAAGTATACCTTGAATTGCTAAGCATGTACTAAATGTCACTTTTATTGAATACCCCATGGCAACAATAATATTGCGGATGCTTTGGTAAGGTTGGCTAAGCAGACAAATCGCTAGAAATTGGAGTCTATATTCATTGAAGTTTAGGGTTGTCGGGCCCTCTCATTAATTGTTTAGGGTTTTTCATATCAATTAAGGGTAGGTTGCCATCACTGCACGAAACGAATCAAACTTCTCATTAATAACAAAATCATGAAGTTTAAATCTAGGAATTAAAGGCAATTTAAAACTTTAATAATTTACGCTTTAATCATTAATATGATACATAATAGAGTAATTTACATTATATTTATCATTACCATTCTAAGAAGAACCTAATAAGTCAAAGTCCCAAAGAACTATTTGTCAAGAGAATGAAAGAGCTAGCTTGTTATGGATTACTAGATCCTTTTAAATAAAAAAATGTGTTTTTAACTAATTTATTACTATTGTTGGTCACACCCTCGGCTCTATATGTCACTCTAATAATGTAAAGACTCTCCATAAGTAAAATTAATTTAATATTTATACACATTATAAAGATATTCAAATGAATAGAATTCATTAAATAAATAATTAAAAAAGTTTATGCGGCTTTAGCTTCATTCATACCTAATTTATAACCTATATTTTAAAGCAAATTTTAAAATCTAGGTTTGAAACTCATTTGAAATATATTTAAATAATTTTTGACATTCATTTAAATCTAATTTGAATTGAGTTTTAAACCCTTATATTGAAGCTAATTGTTGAATCTTAAGTTTGAAATGAATTTTTAGACTAGGTTCAAACCTTAATTAATATGAATATCAACCTTTGCTTTCAAGATAAGGGTATTAGCAAAACGAGCCGAGCTTGAGCGAGCTCAGGTTTGGCTTGTGTTCGGCTCGTTCGAGATAGCTCGTGTTCGAAATTGGCTCGTGTTCGAAATCAGCTCGTGAACAGTGTGTTCGTGTTCGGCTCAATTTAAATATTGGTGTTCGTGTTCTTATCGTGTTTGGCTCGAAATTGGCTCGTTAAACTAAAATTGAGAAAAATAGATGTAAAGTGTGAGATTCGAACCTGGATCAAATATATACAAAAGAAGACACTAACCACATTGCCACATTAGGTGTTATGATTTAAATTTAGACATAAATATATATAATATATTATTATATAAATAATATATTATTATATAAATAATATATATAATATATTGTTATATAAAAAGTTATATAATTTGTTTTTCGAGCCATTTTGAGCCGCGTGTTCGGCTCGTTTACGTTTCGAGCTTAAAAATTTGTTCGTGTTCGGCTCGGTTGGGCCCACCAACGGGCCGGACAACGAACGAGCCGAATACGAGCTGTTTAACGAGCTAAACACGAGCTGTTCACGAACAACGAGCCAAATTGACAGCCCTAATCAGACCTATCTCCTCCATTGTGTGATGAGAAGTAACAACAAAGACAACCATATTGAATGGATAGCCAATGCATTCTAATCTTTTAAAGAAAATCAATAATCATTTTTAGATGTGTTACATGAGAAGATTGTTAAATATTTCAAGCTTCATCATAGGAACAAAAGTAAAGTGACCCTATGATGACCGTTCGAGAAGATATTTGAAGAAGAGAATTTAAATTCGTTATAATGTTCTATGTTTTCATGTGAATAAGAGGAATTATGGCTTAGAATTTATTATGTACTTTTTTTTCTTGAATCAATAAATTTCAATATAAAACCAATCAGCATGGAAGAAACCATTCAAAAACAAGGCCACATCTCAATCCCAAATTCCAAAATTATTTTTTTTGACATGCACAAAAAGGAAATTTCTTAAATTTGTACTTCAAATTATTAAAAAAATAAACATTGAAAAGACATATTTCGTCGACTGCTCTGAGGAGTCCCACCACCACTACTTCCCTAAAAGAAGCCACGTCTTTACTCCCAACCCCCTCCCATCGCATCTTAGGGTCTGTTTGGGGCAGCTGCAGCTTATCCAGCTTATGCTGATAAGCAGCTTATCATGATAATCTGCTGATGAACAACTGATCTAGATAAGTTGGTTGGCTGTTTGGTTTGTGCGTTTGGAAACAACTGATTCTGGATAAATGACTATTTTGCCCCTGTTCTAAATAAGTTGTTTAGCTGTTTAGTTTGTGTGTTCTGCCCCTATTCATAATCACTCCATACACACGATAATACCAAAATGAAATTCATAACTGCAGCTCATTCATTTCCAAATCTTTCAAGAGAAAACAAAGAGATGAAGCCATTAAACTTCTATTTTGCCTCTTTTTGCATCAGCCATCCCAATGCAGAATCAACTTTGATTTCCAACAACCATCTAAACGCAAGCATGGCCATGGTGCACCTTATTCAGAATCTACTAATACAAAAAACCAACGTAGCAGGACAACAATTTTGGGTTATCTATTACTGTAAGATATGCATCCACAAATGAATAAAGCATTAAGCAAATCAACGACCCTCTAATAAAAATAAAATTTTTTCAGTGCGAGCCCCTGTAACATCCTTCAAATTTTCCAGAAAATGTATTTGTAACAACTCCCCAACTCTACAACCATTCTTAACAGAAAATGTATTAGTGTAAGGATCATTGAAAGTGGATTGATGAGCTACCTCGAAGTTTGGTATTATACTTGAATAAAGCTTGTGGAATCATACTTTATACTTGAATAAAGTTTGGTATTATACTTGAATAAATTCAATTATCTCTAAACTCTCTCTCTCTCT